GATTTAAGCCAAACCTTAAAGGATAAATAGAAGCTGGCTATTGGGTGTGTCACAGGTTAGCACAAGTAACCAGGTTCTTGGTGATTGCGACAAAGAATTGAACGGAACAACCAGAGTTTATGGCAGAGAACACGGAGCAGGCCTACTCCACACAGAGATTGACCTCACGGGCTAGAGGGACTCTCCTCTTAAAGAGCGGATCCTTCCCGGCTAATTTTGGTGGGGTTTTACTGCGCATGTGGTCTCCCATGATTTTCCCTGATTAGCCACCAGGGAAGGGGGGTCCCACAAAGTTACCAAATTGACCCCCCCTTTTCCTGGGGTGCCCCTGTACTAGGTTCACCTTGCCCATCGCCAGAGAATTATAGCTCTCCATGTTAGAGACTGGCAAAAAGGAAAGGAATTATTTATTCAAATTATACAGACTTAAGAGTAATAACTTAATGTCTTCATCAAAACCCCAAAGTCCCTTAAAACACCCACAAACACACACAGTCCTTCCTTCCTCCCCTTTGCCTGGTCTGGTGCATGATATCTCAGGAAAAGAAATAGAAATCCATGGCTCAGGCAGCCCCCAGTTCCTCCCAGTAATCCGTGCTAGGCTGGTAGGCCTCCCTCCGTTCCCAGCAACATCAGCTGTGTTGTCGGGATCTCCAGTTCTTATTCCAAAACCACACGGCACCTTCTCATGGCCCACCAGCAAACGTCCTTTCACCCCTTTCCTTCCTGCAGCGTCTCTCCTGCATTCTTCCGAACTGCTGAGAAACCTCTGCATTGCTGTTACACCTTGCTTTCCAGCTTCCTAAGCTGTGTGGCAAAGGGAGATCCAAAGCCACAGGATTCTCCCCTGCCAAAGCCACATGATGATTCTCGTGGCTGCTGCACCTAGGTTTAAATCCCAGCTCTAATCTTCCTCTGCAGTCCCATATCTGATTCCTCCCACAATAGGCTACACTTGCCAGCACTACTGTATTTTCCAGCTTTTCTGGGCTTCCATAGTAAGTCTGGGCAGGCATGGCCCCGTGGCATGGAGCCAATCATCTCCAAGCTCTCTTGAAAGTTCTGTAACCAGGGGGAGTTGCCTCCCAGTTACATCTTAGGTGGAAGTCACTCCCTTCTCCCTGGCTCAAGGCAAGGCCACAGCTATTTAACATATCTATGAAACCAGTTAAAGGTTATAGATATGTTAAATGACCATTCTAGAGGTGATCTGCAAAACTGTTGCTATGCAAAACAACTCAATGGCCCTGCTCCATGTATCCCATCCCCAGCTTAGATTTGTGGGGGTGAGGACATCCTGTATTTTTAATATTTCCTGGACACCTGAGTTCTGGACCCCATTACAATTCCTTTTATGGGGGCCCCATGGCTGCACCCTCTTACAGGTGGATGAGTCTCACTGATTATGAGGGTGGGTCCTGTAAGGAGTAGGGAAAAACTTAGACCATGAGAAAATAGGAACCTAGCTAGCTAGAGCCAGGAGATTACTAGGTTAATGAATAAACATCCTGCCTTCCCGCTTTATACAAGAATGCTTGGTTTGAAATTCCCGCGCGCGGTCTTTGTAAGCGAATTGCTAACTGCCACGTCTGCTTCTGTATAACGCTTGCTTGCCCGCCCCTATATAAGGACTTAGTTGTAAGCGCTAGGCGCAGCTCTCGTTTGCAGCTCCTTGTGGGCACTGTGTCGCTGGACACTTTGAGAGTTCGCCCCTGTGCAGGTTAAACTTGGCCAATAAAATAACATCTTTGATACCCTGAAAGTCTCCGATATTTGTTCTCACGTTTGCTGGATGCTCCAGGTCCTATTATTCCAAGATATCTTTTAGGGCTTGTCTGTGTTAGGAGTTTCCTTTGCAGGCTTCTCCTTCTCTGGATAATCTCTAAACGTGAAGAGCCCCCAACAGTTAAGAGGCCTAGGTGATCTAGAAATAAATCCCTACCTACATTTATTATCTCTATGACTTTTTCCCCTGACTTGTATACGCAATTTCTTAACATCTTCACCTGGATGGTTAACAGACTTACCAAACCTAGTATATTTACAAGAGAACATAAGGTAATTCCCTTCATAGTTTTCCCTTAGGAGCCATCCTTCATTTCTTCCTCTCCTACTCACTGCATGTCCAATTCAGCAGCAAATCCTACAAACTCTACTTCCAAAATAACACTGAGGGCCAGCTCCCCCTCCCAGCCTGGGCCTTTCCCTGGCCCTTCTTCTTCCCTCCAAGCAAGTTACCTTTGCCATTCTCTCTCCAAAGCTCCCAGGCCCTTCTTTTGCCACTGTAGGTTTCTAAATAAACTTTCTCTTATAATACACTTGTTACAGGGTGCAGCCAAGAGGGGGGACCCCAAATGGGCATTTGAAATGGGGTCCAGAACTTAAGGTCTCCAGGAGATTTTAAGATGTCTCCATCCCCCCACCCAGGGTGTGGGTTGGGGGAAGGGACAAATGGAGCAGGGCCATTGAGATCTGTTTTGCATAGCAACAGCCTTCCAGCTACCCTCTGGAGTGGTCATTTAACATATCTATAGCCTTTGGCTGGTCGCTTAGATATGTTAAATAGCTGTGATCATCTCTGAGCCAGGGGAATGGAAGTAACTTCCCCACCAAGACGTGACTGGGGGCAGATCCCCCAAGCTACAGCGCCTGCGTGGGAGCTCGGAGAAGACTGGCTCCAGGACATGGGGCCACACCTGCTCAGACTCATGATGGCAGCCCAGTAAAGCTGGAAGGATACGAGTTCTGGCATGTGAAGCCGAGTGTGGGAGGGGTCGGAAATGAGGCTGCAGAGGAAGATTGGCCGCGGGGATTTAAAACCCAGACTTGGCGGCCATTAGGAGAGAGAACCTTGTGCAGCCCTGAGAAAGAGAGCCATGCGCAGCCCTGAGAAGAGGGAGAACCATGCGGCTTTGGCAGAGTGAGGACTCTCCCTTCCCGCAGCCATTGAGAAAGAGAACCATGCGGCTTTGACGGAGTGGAGACTCCTGCATCCCAGAGAGAACCGTGCTGCTTTAGGAGAGAGAACCACGCGGCTTTGGCAGAGTGGGGACTCTCCCCTTCCCGCAGCCCTGAGAGGGAAAACCACAAGGCCTGGACAGAGTGGGGACCCCCCACAGCTTTAGAAGGGGAACCACCACCTGGTTTTAGCAGAGATCCCGCGACTCAGCCGAGGGTGCCGGGAACCCAGGGAGGTCTCCCAGTCGAGATGGAGGACTAACTAAGAACCAGAGGACTGCCTGAGCCATGGACTCCGTTTTCCTTTCCTGAAATACGGTACTCTGGACTGGGCAAAGGGGGAAGGAAGGAAGGACTGTGACTGTGTTTGTGGGTGTTTTAAGGGACTTTGGGATTTTGGATAAAGACATTAGGTCACTACTTTAAGTTTGAATAGCATTAAATAAACATTTCCTTTCCTTTTCACGAATCTCTGGCATTGAGAGATGTCTTTCCTCTGGCGGCGGACGTTAACGGACCCGGGGCCTTCTTTCAATAATAGTATATCGTCCAAGGCCCCCCTTGTCTGTTCTGTAATACACTGACTTTAACTACCTCAGTTTATTTAATCCACTGCTACTGCAATACTGCCTTCATCTCTCCCTCAGCTACTGCAGCGGCGTAACAGGTCTGACAACTTCCACCCTTTTCCATCCAGCAGCCATGTTGGGGACTGCCCTGCCTGGTCTCAGGAAGCTGTAACCCCCGGGACTTAGGCTGAGTGAAAGACCTCTGGACCAGGAGCCACTAAGGAGACAAAACTTATTTCCCTGGCATGATTGGCAGTCAATAACGGATAACAAGAAAGAGAATGAATCTAAGATAGACACGATCACATGGGAATGCCCTAAGGGAAAAGACTCAGGGCTGTGGATATGAAGGGGTGATGGACATCAACCCCTGCCCCCTGGGCTTTGTCAAAGCCTGAGTCCTTGTGAGAAATCCAAGTCTCCTGGCTGCCTTTGTCTTCTCTGTTAACTCAGGCCTGCAGGGGTGGCCCAGGCCAGAAATGACGACCCCCCCCCCCAACCGCCCCCAGTGTAATCAGGCCCAGGACATAGAATATGCAAGATCCTGTGAGATCTGTTTGCTGGATAATGTTATTAAATTAGAATTTGAAGGCACACACAGGAAACCTTTGGAACCTGTAGTCCTTTCATATGATAAAACTCCAATCTCTGTCCAGAATCACAGCAGGAGTTCTGTCTGCAACTTTGTAAGTCACTTAATTCTTTTGATCTTTTCTGCCAGACTGTGAATCCACAAACTAAGTCTGTATTCTCAATAAAAATCTGCTTGGGAATGGATACGGCAGTGCGCTCTCCACTAGAGAGAGTGGCCCTTCTGTCCCTATTCCCCCACAGGACCTGGTTGTCTCTGTGCATGTTTTTCTTATGTTTCGACGAGCATCCGCAGCCAAGATGGATACTGCTGGACAGTATCACCCACACAGCCACGAATAATTTTTTTTAAAAACGTAAGTCTGATCATGTCACTTCCCTTTTTAAAGCTGTCCAGTAACATAACCAAACCCTTATCTTGGGCTAAAAGGCTGTGCTTGACCAGGCCCTGCCACTTGTCCATCACAAACCACTGTCACAGCCGCCTTGCAGTGATCCTCAGAACACTTCCTACTGGCTTTTTTCACCGCCTAAAAAGGTTTTTAGCCAGTCCTCCCTTTTGTCCATCTCCGCAAAACCTGGCCTTCTCAAAACAGCGTCACCCGATTTAGAGTGGCGCTCCCCCCATCTTCTACCAGTTCACCTGGTGTTACAGTCTTTGGGTGCATTTCTCACTTGCTGATGATCTACTTTTTAACTTTCTCCTGAACTTGAATAAAAAGTTATAGAGCGAAGCCTCCTTTAAAGGACCGAGGGAATTACAATGCTGGTTCTCCCTACCCTGGAAAGTCTCTGCAGCGCCCGTACGGGGCTTCGTTTGGGTCAACTTCCTAGGCTACACGTTCTCGCCTCTGGAATTGCCCCTGCTAATTTCCCACTTACAGACGGGGATCCAAAGGATTCAGTATAGTCTCAGAGGAGCGGCAATCCGGTGTCCCAGCGTATCCAAACCAGGCCTCTTCCTCCCCTTCCTGGCTCTCCCGCCACATCCCTGGGCAAGTAATCTGGGACCGAGGCGCGGACCCGGAGCCGCCCCCGCGAGGCTAGGGTCACACAAAAACGTCTCCTAGCAACGTTGTAGCCCTCCACCCCAAACCCATCCCTGCCCCAGGGGAGCCAATCCATTCCCCCAGTCTCCCGCGCCAGGAGTCCGCGTCTCCATCCAGTATACTCACTCCGCGTCAGTCCTGCCTTCCCCCACCCACAGCAGCACCGCAGCCCACGGTGGGCTGGGAGGGAGGAGGTGGCGCCAGAAGCCAAGCAGAGAGGCCGCGACCGACGGAGCTCTGGCGAGTCTGGCAGTCCAGGACGGACCAAACCACTGGGCGGACCTCTGTGAGAGAACTGTCCCAGGTTTGAGGTAGTTTCGAGTCTCCCTTAAATCTCAATCTCTAGTCTAGCTCGCCCTCCTCCCAACAGTATAGCCAAACATCATCCTCTCTCCCTGGCTTCCCTTTACCCCTTTCGCTATCTTTTCCCCTCTTCCAGCCACCCAAATGGTTCAGCCCTGGTCTTCCTAACCCAAGGGCGCTAGATCTTTGCCCTAACTAGGCTACGGCTTCGTACGTCTCTGCGTAGATCGTGATGCAATCTTCCACCCGTTCGCTCCCCTCCCCTCTTCCATTCTTTCTCCTGGAGCCTTCTGCTCGCGGGGTTACCGGAAGTGATGATGCAGGAGGGATGGAGGGGCGGGGCTCCGGGGCGGCCGCGGCCGGTGGGCCGCAGATGAAGACAAGGCGGCTCCTGTGGTGGAGGAAGAGGCGGCGGCGGGGACGGCGGCGGCGGGGGTAGGGAGCCCGAAAACGCGAGCGGGGATGGTAGGTGGTTTGGACTCGCCGGGCCGCCGTCGTTTCCAGAAAAGGTTTGACTGGAGGAACCTCTGGAGCAACTGTGAGTTTGTTGGGGGGAGGGGTCGAGGAAAAGGGGGGAACGTTGAGTGCTGAAGGGGGTTGGGTACCTCGGAAAAAGGCGGGGGTAAGGGGAAGAGTGGAAGTCAGCGCCTTGTCTGGACTGGTTTCTCTGGAAGGAGAGGAGGTGAGGGGAGCCTGTGGCGTGTCAGACGCAGGGCTCAGAAAACTTAACCTACTATCCCTGCCTCCTCACCGCCAGCACCTCTCAACCTAGGGTTTGGGAGCCGGAGCTGCCCTGGAAGTGGTGCAGACTCTGGTCCTGTGCCCCGGGTAAGCGCTCGGAGGTGGGAGCCTAGGCGGGAGGTGGTGGGTGAATCTCCAAATCCCTTCGCCCTCATTTCCCTCCCCACCCCCATCCTTCTATTTAATCATTAACAGGTCTGGAATTAAGGGGCTCAGACCTGAAGGCCTTGCTCTGCACCTTTGCTATAAACGATAACCGTCTGTGCCCTAAGTAGTGGGGCTGGAGGCTTTGCCTGTATCCTGTATAGGAAGTGGGACAGGGTGACAAATGTATTTTTTTTCCATTGCCCTTCACTCCCCTCCCCAATACACCCCTTGTTTTCACGGTAATTCTCTCAGGTTAGGTGGTAATTAAGGGTTTTTTCTCCCCCTTTGCGGCACTTGGTACCTTGGTCACCTCTTTGGAATTTCGTGTTCAGCCTCCATCCAGATCTTAAATGCAAGCTTTGTAAATACTTCCGTTACAGGCTGTGTCACTTTGAGGGTACTTCTCAAAGCTCGGTAGCTCCGCTTCAAATGAGCATTTTCTCCAGTGAATACTGGAATTCCAAGGCCCTTGCAAGGATTTCTACATACTATCATAGCCCAGTCTTTTGCTCTAAATACTTTAATTGTGTGGAATTTACATTTTGTCAGCTCTTTTCAAAATGATTTGATGTTAGGCTAATTCTGGATTTCTGTGTTTCTCTCCATCCGCACTTAATGATGTACTTCAGAGAAACCCATATTACTTTTTAGTTTTTACACTTGTACAATAGCTCTTTTATGTTTTTCTCCATTTGTGTGTCTGGCACACAAGTCTTCAGTGACATTCGGCTTGTACTAATGTCCATTTTATTTTGCTGATTATTTTTGTATAGTTGGTTTTAAATTGGAAAATGTGATCTGTTAAGTTTTGTTTTATAGAAGAACACAAATCAATAACGTGAAAAAATTATTTGAAGAAAGTAAAGAACGATTGAAAAGGTCTGTTTATTGATGTTCTTTTCGTTAAAAAAAAATCTTCAAGTAGTGTGCTTGCTCCTTCATCCTGTCACAGGGATTTCACAGTGAAGCGTGATGACTCATATTTTGTTCATATTTTCTTTGGAAAACATCTGTTGAATTTGGAACTCTGTTTTCTGAAGAACTTTAAGAGATAGTGTCTAATTTTGGGATCCTTTCGTTATAAAGAGTGCATGAATTCTGGCACTATATGACTTGAGTTTAAATGATTTGATTGCTCCCAGGGACAACATGTTTAGGTGTTTCACAGAAATGCAACAAAAGAAAAGAATGATTGCTGCTCTCACCTTAATTGATTTGGAATTATTGAATAAAAGGTCTATAATTCATTCATTCATTCAATAAGCATTTTTGAATGGCTACATAGCCGATGTTTTGGGTGCTGGGGTACAAAGATGAACATAAGCATAGTGTCCACTCTCGGGCATCTTACATCGGGGTAGTGACACATAATCAATAAACAAATCAGATTTTGATGAATGCTAAAAAAACAAGAGTGATGTGATAGAAGGTGATTGGGATGCAGTCAAGAAACAACTTCCTGAGGAAGTAACTAAAAAGTAGCCAGCATGGGGAGGTGCCTTCTGGGTTCTGGGACTAGGTAGGTAGTGCAGAAACTGGCTGGAGTGACTTTGGCAAGTTTCTGAGGACTGGGAGGAGAGGGGTGGGGTGGAGAGGAGGTGGGAAGAAGGTGGAGGACAGGAAATGGGCAGCAGTAATAACCAGAGCCTTGTGAGCAAAAGGGAGAATGAAAAGAGCCTAAGTCAGAGAGGAACAGGCAGGGCAAATAAGAAGATGGAAAAGGAGATATAGAATCACTTTGATTCTCCCTACAGCCTTTTCCTAGAGTCTTACCTCTTTCTGTTTTGTAGGTACTGATGGGCTACTCAAACAAACAAAAAAGTTACCCACTGAGAGTGAGAGAGGAGGTGGTGGTGGTTACCTGAGTCCTTTCTGGCAGCTAAAGCTCTGTTCATAATTCAGTGGATGTTCAACTGAGAGCATATTTTTTTCTTACAGGATTTTTGTCTTATATACTACTATTTAAAACTGCATATCAAGAACCCTGAATGTGTTTTAGTATATGAATCATTTGCTTCTAGCTGCTTATGAATTTAGGGTTGAGGGTTGGGCACGTGGTAATAATATGCCCCTGTTGGTCTGTAAAGATGACCATCAAGATCTTAGTTGAAGTTGGTTTTTCTAGGGAGGCAGGTTTTGTGTTGCAATATTTCTGCTCATGTCTGGTCAGCCTGATGGCTAATAACACCCAGCTGAGATGTGGGTTGGTGCTAAAAGTTCACTCTGTGGATTCCATTAGATAAATGACCATTGTGGATCCAATCCCAATGTGTCTGCATCTTTGGACTGGCATGTAACTAAGGGATGTAACTGACTTTTGCCTTTTGTTGGGGTCATTCATCTCCAATAGTCAGCTACTTTTCAGTCTCAACTTGACCAGATTGTATACTTAGAAGGGCCAATTGGACTCCTCGATTTCTCTCTCTTGAGCCATGTTAAAGTGGGCTAAAACAGAATATGCTATTTTCTTCTTTTGAACCCCATGACAGTGACTAGTGTGTTCTTTGAGTGTATTAGTTCTTTGAGCCAGGGGTTAAAAGACCCCTTAATATTGCTTGGTCTACATGTATAAAAGTAAGTATTAAAAATGCTAAATAAAACCTTTTAGTGTTTGGGGAAAACAGTAAAAAATTGAGGACTTGTCACCTGTTGTAGGTTCTAGTACTTTAGTAGCATGGGTGGGTGGATTGTCAGAACTTGAATAAGTGTATACTGGGAAGTCTTGAAGGGGATGGAATAGAGAGATTGGTACTAAATTCCAACTTGAGTGCAAATGGAAAGTCTTTTACTTAGCAAGCAAGTGACTAGAGTGAACAATTAGGGTGAGGCAGCCAGTAGACTACCCTCTGTACTGCAGAGTAGCTCAAAGGAATGGAGAATTCCTTTGTGAGTGATTCTCCATATGCGAGGGGGGGCCCCCAAAAATGGTAATTTATGTATAAAAAATTGTGTATTTATTCTTAAACCAGTCACCTTCAGAGTACTCTCCATTTGATGCAATACTCCTATCTAGACATGTTTTTTTCCACTGCTCAAAACAGTTTTTGAACTCATTGATTTTGATGCCTTTTAGGGCTGCTGTTTTTTTGTTTTACCTCTTCCACATCAGCAAAATGTTTCTGTTGGAGGACATTTTTCATCCTGGGAAACAAAGTCACTCGGGTGAGATTAGGTGAATAGGGAGGGTGGGGCTTGGAGGCTCATGCTGTTTTTGGTCAAAAACTGCTGAACATTCAACATGGTATGGACAGGTGCACTCTTAAATCACCCATCATGAACTGGGCAAATGTGTTGAAAGAGTTTTCAAAAATACTCACTGAAGCTGAACACAGCCTCTCACATCACCACCAGTGGGTACACTGATACAGATGGGTTCCTTGAATACTTACCTAACCCTGCCCTTCAGAAGACGATTCCGTTTTATTTATTTTTTTTTTGCGCCTTTGTGCAGAGCTACTCTGCAGTACAGAGGGTAGTCTACTGGCTGCCTCACCCTAATTGTTCACTCTAGTCACTTGCTTGCTAAGTAAAAGACTTTCCATTTGCACTCAAGTTGGAATTTAGTACCAATCTCTCTATTCCATCCCCTTCAAGACTTCCCAGTATACACTTATTCAATAAATATATATATATAAATATATGAATAACTTGCCTTTGGCCTAGGTTATAGAATTTTGGACTTTGTGTCCTAATGTTGGGCTATACATGCTCTGGTCAATAGATTATTAAAATATGCTCTATTCATCTTTATTTCAGTGGTTTAGTATAACTCATGTATGAAAATATCCTGTTGGCTGAGATTTCATTAGCCAGTTTGGAGACTTTAATTTCCTAAAGAGCGTTGGATCGGTAGGAGGGGACTTGAACACAGGGAGAAGCCATTGATTTCTACATTTGGCACTAAATATGTCTGGGGAAAGACTCCACAAATCTAAATGAATTTAAAATCTAAGAACTGGGCTTTTTTTCTAGGTTTCCAATGAATTTGTTTCTTAAACTCTGAGGGCTTTTGGATAAACTGAAAGGTGGACAACCTAGAGCCAATTGATGCCACTTGCTATTAGAGTTATGGGTATTTTGCATTGCATTAGATGATTTAAATTAATTGGATTTTGCTACTGTTTTGGTAGGTGTGCTGAGTAATGGAATTACACACTGGCTGCCAGTTGATCTGAGGTGAAGATGGGGTAACTCAGATTGAAACAGTGGTAATTAACTGTTAACTCTTTAATTACGTCTTTGTATCTGTTTACAGATGTTGATCCAAGTGAACCAGGATGAGTTCTTCCTGAATGTTCCGAAGCTCTTTGCGCAGTAGAACATTGTGTTTAATTGAGTTAGTGTCTTTGAATTAAAGTCAAGTTTC